AGGCTGACATTTTATTTGTATTCATGCCCTATTTCTGACTAATGGATTAACCATACACCCCTGACATATAAAATATAATGGCATGCTCTTCCGCTCTACCATTGTCTGTGACGACTGACACACATTTGGAGTAGAGGAGCAAGCAAGAAGTCTGGGGAAGGAATCTTTACTCAGGTAGCATGTCACATTTCCGTGACCTCTACTGCAAGAACAATTCAAGGGTACCTCCTGCCTCTCCATCCGCTTCCTTCATGTGTCTTTCCCACGCTCTGCGTGAGGACAGCGAAGGAAATCTACTTGGAGACCTTGTAGACAAAGCTTGAAGACCCAAAAAGTCATGGGGGGAGCAGTATTTCCTCTGTTTGGATGAGAGTAAGAGCTTCTGTTTGTTTGGACAGTAGGAGGAAGACCTGTATCTGTAGTGCACAACTGTTGTGTCACAATGAACAATGGCATCCACCTTTTACTATCCATCTTGTTATAAAGAGCTGCAGCCAGAAAACCAAGCAGCCAAGTGTCAACAATATACTTTCTCGTGTAAACACATATTCTCTCCTCAAACTCAACAACACTAGAACTGGAGATGTGCCCAAACAACCCATTTACAATAAACTGTTTTGAATGTTATAAAAACACACACCTGATATTTCCATCACAATGTGTTCATTCATCGAATAACTAAACTATTCCCATGGGGCTAGTTGAGTTATTCAAAGACACAGACAATTGTCAGTCAGAATTGACTGACACTGACCAACTGTTCTTCCATAGCTGTGGACCATTAAACAAAATGTAGGCCCTACAATATGTTTGGGCTTGCCATAATTGAGTAAATGTCAGTAAAATCATTTAAGCCCCAGCAAGGATAAAGCCTCTCCTGCTTGCTAAATGCGCGGTTTAGTTAGTGCCAGAGTGCAGAGCGCTGATGGTTGAGTCTCAAAACCCGGCAACCCAAAATTTGGGAACCCTGAACAGATAGGCTACTTATGATTTATTTGGCACATATGCCACATATGATCTCAAAAATGCTACACCCCCTCAAGAAAATTCTGAGTATAGGTAGACAGCTCGTTGGGTTTTGAGAAATGACATCCTACCTTATTTTAAAAACTCATCATATGTTAATACAATGATGAAAATTGTTAATCAGTGTACCAACATCTATTTAATTTGTTACAATAAATGCAATTTCTACAAGATTACATGTGTTTTCAGAGTTTTTTCTCCTCAGCAGTAATTAAAGTCTAAATAGTTTAAAAAGTGCAAAGTCAATAGCATTCAAGTTTAAATAACATTTACTGTAGTGTTCTAAAATTAACTTTCAAGTAACATAAGAACAAGCCACAGACCTAAATATTAATTTAATGCCATAAGTGATGTAATTTGAATCTAGTACAACAACACTAAAATGTTTTCATCATTAGCCTATCAGTATTTTTTTCTACAGAATCCATTTACTTTGCAGATCAGGATGAGAACTGAACTGCAAGCCGCATCTGTACAACAGCAGCCCAAAGATAGCAAAACATCGCGTGCACCTTCACTTAAAGCGCAGAAAATGGCAAAAAGCGACACTCACCACTTGAGAAGAAATTAAAAAGCAGCTGAAAAGTGAAGAAGCCTTTGACAGAGGGTTGAACACAAGTCATTTCGCCGGTTAAAATAACGTGCCGAAAGATATTCCGTATACTGTCACTTTCTATTTGATGTAGTTGTTGTAGTCCACCTGGACCGAAATGTCTTTTGATGTCGAGTTATGCGTATAGTTCCCGTTGTTATGCCAGAGATTGTTCTTTCGGTGATGCCTCTATAATGAAAACACGTCTCCTAGTCTCTCAGTGACTGTAAAGGTATCGTACGGTACTGCGCCTCTGCCCCGGTACAAACACGAGTGGAGCAACTCCAAACTACTCCCGTGGGCAGGTGCGACGTTTGCGCTTCCTTCCTAAAACTGAGTGACTGAAATTTCACAAACTAGACTGTATAAAGAATGTTTAACAATAATATAACAATGAAAACAACTTATAATGCCAAGCGACTGATAAACCATCCCACTGCCTTTGACTTTTCTGCCGGGGTTTTCCTCTTGAAGGCTTTATATGAAGCAAGGACGGAAGGACGCAACGTCACCATAGTAACTGCAGCGATACTCCTAATGCACTTCTGGCGCACTTTTCCTGCCTTAACTCAATTAAGATATTGCTTGATTCAGATTCTTACAAGACAGAATATCTTGAAGTAAATGTTTGTGCTCTTTTTGTCCGCTTTAATGAAAGGTGTATTTCATCTCAGTGAAATGTCCCACCCAAATGGCTCTATGAATGTCATGACTGTGTGCAGAATATAGGCATTTCAACTGCATTATTTTAACCAAACTCTATCGACCCCCCGGGAAGAGTACCTAAAATATCTAGGTTCAAAGGTTAACAGGCATTGTCTGATAACTTCTCAGAAAAAAATACCTTGCAAAAACATTTACAAGGTTTATTTTTAACTCAAGAAACAGGATGTGTAGCTAATTTTATATCAATGTAAATAATCACAGGGCTTCTTTTCACCTTCCAACACCCCATGGTGAATGGATGCACTACAGACTGTTTGTCTTTTTGATGCTACAAATGAGGACACGCTCCCCGCAACGTTTGGTAACACATTGTCCATTCATGCCCTTATCTATACTTTAAATGCACAGAATAAGATGGTCAATCTGTTAGAGCAGAAATCAAAAAGGTCTGTGTCAGAATATAGTACAGTTTAATACAGTTTGCTACTGATGAGATTTAATGTGTGGTTTTCTTCAATATTGATTGGAGGATAATGTGATTAAAGAGTAGAGATAACAGTTTACCGATTGCTTTTGTGACTCAAAGTGAAGGTAGCTGTAATGTTCAGGTTTTAGTTTAGGCTATTTCTACTTTTGATGAGGTTTAGGCTATATAGCCTATTTAAATGATGCCATTTATATTTAATAAATCATTTGATTATGCATTATTTTATATGTAAATTATTATTTATTTATAAAATAATTAAAAATGCCTGTATTTTTGTTTTATTTAAAGAAGCTTGAAATCAATGCATACTATCTGAGGAAAATCTGGTTATGTTTCCTGGTTTGGCAACAGAGATGATCTGATTTAGGTATTTCTTGAATCTACAACAAAATAATATTTATCTAACAACTAATGAATTTACAACCAAAGTAGGCTACTATTTTTAAATCTGGCACAAACGTATAAATATATCTGTTATTTTAATATTATTTATGTAGCTGACTTTAGGAAATATTTCTCTCTGACCACTTGCCACAAGGATCATGTTTGTTTTTTTCTTTCTCCTGTGCAATCAGCCCTCTGAACTGATCACACATTTCCCTCAGGCCAGCGCGGTGGCTAGATAAGACTCAGGCAGAAACAATTGCTGGAAGCCGCGCACTGAGAGGAGTGGGCTTTTAAGACATCTTATTTTTGAATCTAGTGCAGTGAACACAATAAGAGACTTCACAACCAATTATGTGTACACAGCTTGAGCTCTTTCCTTCAGCTCAACAATGACCTCCTCTGTTAAAACAAAAAACCCAGCATTATCATCAACTCATGTTTTCTTTGAGGTGAATGAATGAGGTTCTAATGCCACAAGGTGATGGATATCATGCTAAAACAATGCTATTATACCATAAGGTTCAAACCTTTCAACAAAGACAAAGTTGAGAACTCTAAATATATAGCAGCATGTACACTTGAAAACAGTAGTTCTTCAGTTATCTGAAATAATTAGCCTACTTACATCTGTCCTTATATTTATTCAATATTATATAATAGGCTATGCATAAAGCAAATTGTAATCTACTAAGTTGCTAAATAATTAGCTTTATTGTTGTAGCAATGATAAGCTTTGATTTACCACGCCCATAAAGCTGCTTAAATCTGAATATGAAATATCTGAAGGAGTTGAATGATAAATAACCGTATGTGAGACACCACCTTGTGGCCATACAGCAGTATTACACTAAGAGTTCAGCGCGCGAGGTCATACTGGGTTTTGGCGTCGCGCGCGTTTGTTTTGGCGGCGGACGGTCGCGAGAGGTGCTTTTTGTCACGGTCACACAGAAACTACTGACACGATACATTTTAAATTACGTTACTCTACTTGTGTATTAAAATATACAAAATGGAGAGTAATATGGAGCAGTTTGCAGTCGATGTAAAAAGTAAGAATAGCCTGGCTATATTATACGAAGATATGTGGTAACGTTAGTTAACTAACGTTACTTCAGGGATAAGCTATGGTTAATCTCTTTTGAATATTATTAGCTAGTCATTTTAGTAGCCTATCATCTGTTTGAATTTTTTCAATTTACCTCGTCATGAAGTGTTTTATCACAGTATGTGAAGCTGTTTCGTGTTTGAAGATAGACTCTCTTTCACAGGTCTGTCAGAGAAGCTTCTCCACATACAGGCCGATTCAAATTTAGATGAAGTGATTGAGGGCTCTTCAAAGAAATCTTAACTCTAGATGGCGCAGCAAAACTACAGGATTCACAGGTATCCTAACCTCAGTTGAAATCCACGGAAGCCCTTAAAGATCATGTGTTATTTTTTAGGTCTTATGTCACAATCACGTCTTAATTGTCTCGACATAACTGACATTATCTTCTACTTTTTATGTTAACAAATAGAAGTCATTGAAATCTGGTAATTATGCTCAGATATTGAATTTAAAAAAAAATGATCAATTTTTGTAGTTGGAGGAAGTCGGCATCCAGTTGTGGAACTGGGCTGTGACCAAACGTGTTGGCTCAACTATTACAGAAGGACAAAAGGCCAAAGGTCGATCTGTCTGTCTCTCAGTATCTTTCTGTTTGTCTATTAATGGATCTGGCTGTCAGTCTGTCTGTTTCTGTCACTGTTTATTTCACAATATACTAACAAAAGAAAGTTTTAAAGTGCATCTCCAGATGTTTTCACAGATGTCAATTATTTGATACACTACAAACTCATGTTTCAGTGCGTCATGTGGCATGCAGACTTCTGTATTTATGCGGGCCTAATAACCCATCCGAGTCTTTTGTTCGCAAACAGATACTGGTTAGTCACTCACTTTTTCCAGCAGTTTTATTTGTTTAGCCTATTCAAATTTAACATTCATGCATAAGACAGGGATGGATGAAGGGGTTAAGGCACTGTATATTTGTTAATTTGTGCACATTCCTGTCATATTTTATTGTAAATCACTAAAACACTGAAATCTCTGTTCCTTAGATGGCCAGTAAAACAGGGAGAAAATGGCTTGATTGTAAACAACCCAAACTTGCTGATGTTTTTTTGAGGATGGCTGTCAATGTATGTATGAATAAATAGATGCATGTCAAAAATAAAAATATATAGTTATTGGATATTGGAACATTAAAAATACCTGTAATATTATTCAAATCCGTTGGGACTGTAATAACAAGAAACAAAAAAATATGCTACTTTTACAGAGCCTGGAGACTCTTTACAGCAGACTAACTTCCCATGGAGATTGTGTAGAAGATATAAACACACCAAAGGGAGACATAGAGAAAGACTTGCTGTGGATTTTGTCTTATCAAGCTGAATCTGTGAGCAGAACTGCTTAGCAATGTGCAGTGACTACAAAGCTTAAAATTTCTTCTAAAATTGTCTTTGAGAGAGTTTAGGGCTGGTTTTTTATTATTATTATTTTTTTTTACAATTTACACAAAAATGTTGACTTTTTTCCCCTTAAAATTTAAGTTATCTTGTGTGTATTCTGTATAGGCAGTTTCTCAGGAGCAACATCAGGAGGCAGTGTCATGCATGCAGCGATGTAAAGAAATGCTTCTCCGTCTCCCTAAAGAGGTGAACAAACTGTTGTTGTCAGCATGTTTAGGGGTGTCATTGGGTTATTCTGATTTAGAGGGATTTAGAAAATACAGACTATAAAAAGTAAATATAAAGACTTTTTTGTGAAATCTCCTTTAGACTGGAAATCTCTCTCTCATCTGTTACAACTTTGGGGTTGTCACTTACAGTCAGGGAAAGCATGAAGAAAGCACATTTTGGCTCAGGTAGGGATTTCTATGTATAAGTATATTTATAATATACATTATTGTTCAAAGGTTTGGGATTGGTATGATTTTTTTTATATTTTGTAAAGAAATACAGTATAAACAGAGTGATATTGTACAATATTATTACAATTTAAAATAACTCAAGCCTGAATTTTCAGCAGCCAGTCTTAACTGTCACATGATCCTTCAGAAATCCTACGAATATTCTGATTTGGTGCTCAAAAGCATTTCTTATTATCAATGTTAAATTTTTACTAAATATTTATACAACACTTGTTTTGCTTAATATTTTTGTGGAAACTGTGATACATGTTTTTTTTTATCAATAGAAAGTGCAAAAGAACAGTAGTTATTTATTTTAGAAACCATTTGTTACTGAAAACCATCTCAACAGAAAATATCTGTACTGTCACATGATTAATGTAATAAATCCTTGCAGAATAAAAGTATTAATTAAAATCTATACTGACCCCAAACTTTTGTTTTAATGTCATTGAAGTAGTGTACTTCACTCTTATACACAAACGTTAATGTTAGATGCAATTAATCGATTTTACAGCCCGACCATTAAGACATTTTTCCTTGTATTTTAAGATTTCTTTCCACTTCACATTTACTTCTTATGCATTTCAGCCAAAGTTATGATATTGGCAAGATGAATGTGAAATACTCACCTGGATCAGAGATGCAAGTAAGAAATATAAATATAGGCTACATCAACACCGTATATACTGTGAGGTAAAAAAAAATCTGAGACCACTAATGAAAATGTTGCATTTAGAAAAATGTAATTTTTTTTTTCTCATTACAAATTATTTTATCAGCATAATAAATGAGTAAAAAAAACACATTTACATTTAATGTCCATATCCAACAACTGTCTGTTTATTTAATAGTACTTTTTTTTGCATGAACTGAATGCATTATAATCTTATTTCCCATTCCTCCAGGCCAAAGTCTTGAGACTACTTGCAACAGTTTATTTGGAGTGGGACTGTCAGAAGTACCTGGAGAAAGCTATTCATGCTGTGAACTTGGCTAATAAGGTAAAGCATTTCTATTCTAATGCAACCAGATCTTGTCAAAGTGCACCAGATTCGGCTATAGCACACACCGTACTGTTTTTCTCTTTTTTTTCCAGGAGCATATGCAGTTGTCAGGCCTCTACCTGAAGATTCGTATCTTAGTGAAAAGCTGCAGCCCAGATGATGCAGTAAAATCTGGTGAGCCCAGTTACACTGCTGAAATCTTTTTGTGGATAGTATTTTTCCACTCTACAAATGTTTCCCTTCCTTTCCCACGTCCTGTCAGGGATGTCCGAGCTACTGGACAATGAGGTTCCTCTGGAAGTGTGCTTGAGCACAGTAAAATTGCTTGTGAACGAGAACAGGTATGATCTCTTATCTTTCTAAACAGACTAAAAAAATCATCTTCTTGAAATCTGTGCTTCAAAGGAACAGGCATTAATTAAACATGTTGTTGTTTCAGGGAGCCTCTGGCCTTTGACTTCCTGAAGAGGGTGTGTCAGCACTTTGAGTCGTCTCCTGAACTGGGCTCTGCTCTGCTCATGCATATAGAGCTGCTGCTGCAGCGGGACAAAGACCTGTTGGCCAAGCAGAAGATTGAGGATGCTATCACTGGTACTCGAAACTTATTATTTTGTTACCCAGTGAAGTAACTGAGTAGTTTTCATTCTATGTTTATCACCAAGAATGTGCTTCATGTTGTTTTATTAAACAATTTTAACTGAGTTGTGTGTTTACTTACTGTTTTTTAGGACATTACACTGGAAAACAACTACCACCACAGACTCTATCATCTCTCCACCTTCTGCTGTGGGATAGAGCTTCCAAAAATTTTGAAGTATTACATTAAGTTTTACGTTTAATGTGTACACCTCCCGTCTCCTTCTGCATAGCTCTTTTTAAAGAGGTCATATAATGGTACATGCACTTTTACATTTTGATTGTACTGAAATGTGTGTTGGCAGTGCCTGTACACAACCATCATATAATGATAAAAATCCATCCAGTCAGTGTTTTTGTTTATATTTCCTTATATGTTTTTCCCTGCCTCAAATTGAGCCGTTCGTTTTTGTGACGTCAATAAAACGGACGCCCCTCCCAGGATTGTTGATTGACAGCAGTGTTTCAACACTCCCAACCCTGAGTGAGCTGTCATCATACTCGGCTATTGTTGATACGCTGGAGCAGAATGGCGTCTAAGCGATTGTGGTGTTCTGTTCTTGGGTGTAATAACAAACACAGCAGTCATTTTGATGTTCCTAAAACCGAACCGCTGTTTTCAAAGGGAATAACGTTGTTTCCCATGATCAACGTCAGAGCTTTCATGTTTGCACGAATTCATTCTCACCAGACTGCTTTATAAACGAGGGTCAGTATAACGTTGGTTTTGCTAAGAAGCTGCTCCTGAAAAAAGAATTAGTGGCAACTATTTATGTTCCCTCTGCAACTCCAGAAGAAGTATGTGTAAAGTTTTATTAACATTTATATAAATCTTTGCAAAAAAGGTTTTTCATAATGTTAGCGTTCCTATCTCACTACTCTACCCTGGCAGAACAGTCTTCCTCCCACCTTACCTATACCTAAACCTACCCATCTCCATTGGCATTATATGACCTCTTTAAATAACTAGCAATCAGAGTACCTACTTACCTACTACAGAGTACTACTACTACTACTACTACTTTACTTGTTCTTGTAGTTAGCAGCTAATGAATTGGAAGTCTGCATTGCGAAATAAGGGAAATAGTACTGTATGTTTCCACCATGATCAAGTAGTTGTGATTTCTGTCAGACAGCTATCACGTTTGTTGTCTTCTTCCATAGGCCAATAATTATTCTGAAGCTCTAGAGTGGTATAACTACTCACTGAGTTTCTACAAAGCAGGTGAGCTTGATCACAACCTCGCTAAACTGCAAAGAAACCGAACATCCTGTTTCCTAAACTTGCAACAACTTGACAAGGTAGTTGGAAAAATAATGAAGTACATCTCATTACATGCACACAAGTTTATGTACATCACTTTTACTACATGATTGTTGTTTTGAAGGCAAAAGAGGCTGCAGAAGAGGCAGCAAGGATTGATCCAAACAACATTTTTACACAGTTCAGCATCTACAAGATCGCTGTCATGATGAACAATACAGAGAAAGGTAAATCAGATGAGGAAAATTAATATGCGTCCCAGGAGTCTCAATGTAAATAGCCAGGGTTGAAATGGTCATGCAAACCCTAGAAATATCAGAGAGTTTTACTGCTGTGACCTTGAAATGTCATGTCAGTTAATAAAATTGTACATTTTTATAGTTAATTGATCTGGTGCATACCGATCTCTGTACATGTGTAGAATACCTTTTTTAATTTGTACTATATATATATATATATATATATTAGGGGTGTAACGGTTCACAAAATTCATGGTTTGGTTCGATACGATGAACTTCTGTAACGGTTCGGTTCCATACGGTTCGGTACGTTTCCAATACAGCAAAAAGAAATGTTCTTGATTTAATTTATATTTGTATTTAAACTAACATCATAAAGTATGATTTTTTTTTACTTTGAGCAATGATGTAGCTATACTTGACTTTTCTTAGGAGCATATAAACCAAAACAGCTCCTTAGACAAAATTAAATGTAATATTGTAGTAGTTATAAACAAAGGTTTATTTTAGTTCAGATTAACATTTGAGGCCAGCAATTATATTCATATTGTCAAAATAAAACCGACGTGATGTTACTTGAAAGCATTATAGCCTACCTGCCAAACTTCCATGGTGAATGTTGCTGATCTGTGGACACTGGATAGTTCATTCAGGGCACAAAGTTTCTTCCTGGTTTCCACGTCAGCGCTGTTTGATCCGTTGATAACGGAGAAATGTGAATGTTTCTCACTAGATCTCGCAGCGATGTTATTACTTCAGTGGCGAATTCAAATATTTTCTTTACTGGATTTGGCTGTGTAGTAACAGTGCTGATGATCAAGATGGATCGGCTCGCGCTTTATTGGTCCAAACTGATAAACGGTCCGTCAACCACACAATAACAAGTAGCTCAGCTTCGTTCCGCTTACATTACATTTGCCATTTGATGTTGGGCACTCTGTGGTCACACCAGCGTCTCTTACGCTTGCCACGCGCGACGCAACATTTAAAAAAAAAAAAATTCCCAACGAAATTTTGGTCGGCAGCAAAAATTGTCGAACGAACCATTCGGTTCAAAAATGCGTACCGAAAACCGAACCGAAAGTTCAATATGAATACGTGTATCGTTACAACCCTTATATATATATTAACTCCAAGGACTGACTCCAAGGACTGACTTACATCACTACTGTTCAAAACTTTATTCTTTTAAAAGACAGTTAAGACATATTATATTGTTATACATTTCTATTTTAATAATACTGTTCTTTTGAATTCATCAAAGAACCCTGAATTTTTTTTGTCATGGTTTCAAAAAAAATTATGAAGCAGCACAACTGTTTTGAACAACGATAATAATAAGAAATGTTTTTTGTGCACCAAATGATTTCTGAAGTATCATGTGACACTGAAGCAATGATGCTGAAAATTAAGCTTTGCCATCACAGGAATAAATCATATTTAAAAATATAATCAAATAGAAAACAATAAAAGAAAAAAAAATCCCACCCACCCCGAACTTTTGAACAGTAGTGTACGAACGGAAATCACCCCCAGAAATCACTATAAAATGACTTTTTGATATGAATGTCTGTCTTTAATGTTTGTGAATAAGCTGCTTTGGCTCTGAGAGAGATAGGCACTCTGGCTCAGACTAAAGTCACCATGGACAGACTGCTAGTGTCCGAGAACGCTGCAGCAAACCTCCTCAGCCTGGCAGCGCAGATCGCCCTTGAGGTTAGCATGTAACTGTTCTCTCACTATTGATTCTGTATATTCCTCCACAATAATGGTTCAAGACAGCAGTCACTGAATGGAAGCCCTAAACCACAATGTAGAAAAAAAATATCTGTAAAAAAAAAAAAAAAAAAAAAAAAAAAATTGAGATTTTTTTAGATTATTTTTAGATTAAAGTAAAAAAATTTAGATTAAAGTCGAAACATTACAAGATTAAAGTCAAAACATTTCAAGATTAAAGTCGAAACATTTCACGATTAAAGTCAAAACATTACGATAATACAGTCTTCCATAGAAGTGTGTGCATTCTTAACAGTGTGTGTACACTGGCTCAGCCTCAGAGCGTGTGTGTATGTGTAAAGAAATGCACTTGTGAAGTCGAACTGCCATGAATTAACACAAAATAGTAGCTTTTTACTTTTATCTGGGCTTTTAAGAAAATTATACACATGGTGCTAATCTACCAACAAGAATTACCATAGCGTTGCCTATAGACGAGCACACAGACTCTGCCGGAGTAGGTATCACAATCTAGTCCAAACTTTATGTGGCAGTGTTTTTGAGGTGTTTTTGTGCTCGTCTGGCAACACTATATGGGTTGAGAATACAACAGTAACCATTCTGTCCCCATCTTCACTGTAAATACGTTCTGTATCCAATCATTTAGCCGCATCCCGTGATTTCCTCAGATTTAATAACCACTAATGCTTTTTGAGGAGAAATTCTCTATGATTGTAAAGCGCTTTGAGTGTGTTCCTAGTAGACATACTGTATGAAAACGCTATATAAATGCCTAATTCATTCATTCATAAAGCAGGATATCTCCATCCAGTCTGAAAAGTGTTTTCGGCACAGTATATTTTATAACATCCTATAATGGAATGTCGAATTTTCTTTTGCTGAAACAAAACACACACACACATTGTGAAACACTCGCTATGATGAATGCCTGTGTGTGCGGCAATGTGAAACAAAAAAGCACACACACTGCTTCTATGGAAGACTGCATTCTCGTACTCTTTAGTCTCGAAATGTTTCGTCTTTAATCTCGAAATGCTAGATTTTTTTACGTTGCGGTTCAGGGCTTACTTACTAGTCACTGTGCATTTGTGGAGGTTAATATGCCACATAATTGTTAGCACCGCGGATGTACTTCAGCAGTGATTTTTCACCACAGCACGAGCAGCAGGAAACAGCCATCAAAGCCCTAGAGTGTGTGTGTGAACACTCACAAGATGTTGCTCAAATCCTCACTGCCTTGAGGTCAGTCACACATTCACTGTGAGCATTAGCACATATAATGCTTATATCAGTGAGCAGCACAAATATCTTTGGTACAGAAATATCATTTCTTTATCTGTCTCCCCTAGGTGTTTAGTACGACTTGTTCTTTCAACAATGGAACACATTAGTAAGGAAAACAGGTTAGTAGATCAATGGTGCAAAATTCTGACATTCAGCAAAAGCTGTGTATCTGTGTCACACTCTTATCTATTATTAAAACAGGAATGCCAACTTGGATACCCTCTTGTCGTACTTAAAGACAGGTATGCTTAACCATAACCTTTCATTACACTGTTATGTTTCTCTGCATTGATGTATGCATATTGCATTTACAGCTCTACAAAAAGTGTCACAAATCAGCCGTACACAACAAGGCCAGGCAGCAGAAGAGGCCAACTGGTTCAGGAGAATTGGTGCTTATTCTTAAACCTCCTACTTTTGAGACACATTTAGCTATTTGCTGGTTCTGTTTGATTGGCTGTGTATGTTTCGTCTTAATAACTCTCAGCGTGGAACTCAGCCCTGCAGTGTGAGCACAGTCCTATGAGGATGAGGGATTTCTTTCTGCTCTCTTTACAGGTAAGTTCAAGTACAGTTTCTCTTAAAGGCCGTAGGCTAGTTTATAATTATCTAAAGACGAATCCACATGAGTTGGGTGTAGTTAAAGTGAGATGTCTGGCTGGGCAGCTGTCACAGCTGTGCACCCCAGACCGAGCTGTGTTGATTGGGCAGAAGACGTGTCTGCTGATGGCTGCTGCTGCCTCTCTGGAGATCTGCAGGAGCTTGGATAACACTGAGCAACAGGTGGATCGCACATTCTTTTTCACCTGAATAAACTTTAACCAGTAGGTAAGAGGCGTTTTGTTTGCTTTCTAAGGGCATGATGAAGAATGAAGTATGAAACTTGACACTACACAAATTCAGAATGTGGACTGAAGTTGTATGTTTACATGCACAATAATATAAAGGGTTTGGAAGTTTCTATTTGAAATTCAAAGATTGCTACGAACCCTCCACTTGGGTCACCATTGTTCACAACAAAATGTAGCCCTAAATCGGGTCAAGGGGTCTATACGACCCCAATCGACTTTTACTTGATAAAAAAAAAGGTTCCCTTCGTCTCAGTGGAATAAGATTTTGTGACTTTTCATACATTATCTATCTATACACAGACAAAAAACTGGGCTCGATTCGGTTGTTCTGAAGGTATGTAAAAAAATTTTTTTTTAAAATCCGGCATAAATCTGAAGTTTTTACACAGAAATGAAGGCCTAATACTCGAGCATAAATGCAATGTATCATAAAAAATTATATCATATAGACCCCGAAGCCCAGAAATGTAAACAGAAAACAAAGACCATTTGAAGGTTAAAGGACCTAGTTTCTATAAATTAAATGTAAGGATTCTAGAACATTTAGGAGCTGAATTCTTCAAAGAAAATAAAAATGGTTGTTTAGTATGGGTTTTAAATTAAGAAATATCTTGCTGTAGCTGATTTTAATGGTTTAAAAATTAAATATAATTTTAGATAACATTTAATATGTTCATAAAAAATAATATTGTTACAAAACAAAAAATAACAAAAATAAATACAAGCACTTTTGCTCTCATTTCAAGCAGAAGTAGACCAGGTTGAAAACCACTTAAGTTCTCTGATTGTTACCACGACTAACCAGCAGAGGGCGCAGTGTATAATATCTGCTGTGCTTTCAGACGGAGCTGCTGACCCAGACTCTAGAGCACATTCAGCTCTGTAAAGAGATCTGGATGACCATCAAAGCATCAGGTGTCACATATACTATTTTTATTCTTTTACAAATGCATAAGTAAGTTATACCCCGTTTTCCAGAATAACAAGGATTGTAAGGATTTTGGTACTTTCTTTCCTCAATTAGGCTCTTCGCCTAAAGACAAAACAGACACATTATTGCTGCTCTACGAGTTTGAAGCCCGGGCCAAATTAAATGATACCAAACTTGAATCTGTGCTCGAATCGGTTTTGGAGCTGGATCACATTGAGCCCAAGCTGTTAGAAATGATCGCAGGTCAGCTTCTCCAACCATAGCCCCCATTTTAAAGAATTACATATTTTAATAATTTATGGACAGTAAAATTCTTACGGCATGTAAATATACCTTTCAAAGGTTTGGGGTCTGTATGTTTTTTTATAAAAACATTTTTGAAAGAAATGAATACTTATATTTAGCAATTTCCACACCATTTCACAAGATGTAAACAACACTGGTCCAGAAGCACTTCCTGTTTCAGTTTTTTAACACTACACAAAAGCTGGGATAAAATACAACCAACAGAACATTTAAAACTGAATCAAAAAGTTAAACAAACATCTTTAAGATGTTTTCTTTACATGTGAAATAAAGTAAACAGTTACAAACTGAAACAGGAAGTGTTTCTGGACCAGTGTTGTTTACATCTTGTGAAATGGTCTATACAGCACAAATGTTTTCAACATTGATAATAATACAAACTATAGGATGATTTCTGAAGGATTAGAGTAATGAAAATTCAGCTTTGCATCACAGGAATAAATTACATTTCAACATATATTCAAATAGAAAACAGTTATTTTAAATTGTAATATTATTACACTTTTTACTATGCTGTGATCAAATAAATGCATCCTCGGTGAGACTTCTAACAACATTAAAAAAAATCTTTACGACCCCAAACTTTGGAAAGGTGGAGTACGAAAGGACCGTATATGCTCTGATGGACCTGTACTTTGTGTCTACAGCCTTGGCAATGGAACCACCAGCCCATTTCCCCATTCTGTGCAAGAAGGCACTGAGGATCACCCTGTCTCTACACAGGAAACAACCACAGGTCGACCTCACACGCTGCAGGTCAGACTAGCCGAGTCTTTGTTACTTACGCAATGATGTTACCACACTGATAGATGCAAAAAGACATCAAATTGTTTTCATGTGACACACACCTTATACATTTATGTGTGTCACAGTAACTGTTTACACAGCCTGATTCAGCTGACCCTGCCGAGCGGTGTGTCCGAGTTGCAGCCCTGCGTGTTGGAGGAAGTGTGGGGCTACTATGAGCAAGCTCTTTCCATCATAGCCACTGCAGTGAGTTGGTTACGTTGACTCAGCAACCGTCACACACGACCCACTGCAGCTCAGCCTCGCAATTATCCCCATCTTTGAAAGAATCTCCTGTTTCTGTCAATGGGCTTTTAGTTGTGCCTCAGTTAGCAGATGCTCCATTCACCAGCCTCTTCCTGCCAATTTGGATGCTAATTTCAAAATATCGCCTGTATCCTTTATCTTGGACTAGTGTTGCAGAAAGCTTGCATAAGCATCAGTATGAAGTTGCATTATATAATTCTGCAGCTAGTGTTTAAATTTAAGTATCTGATTTCTCCATTTGAACCATCACAAACAGGTGTCTTCTCTTCTCACACAGCCTGAGGACTATCCAGAGCTGGAGATCCTGTGGCTGCTGACCCGAGCGTGGAACACGGGGATCCTGCTGTACAGTCTGGCCCAGTACCCCGAGGCGGAGAGGTGGTGCGGGCTGGGAATGAGCTTCCTACGGTACCTGGGCTCCCTGCAGGACAGCTATCAGACTCAGGTAACACTGCTCTACAGCTGTTTGAGCACTCGACCCAAGGTGAAGGTCAAATCAGGTGCCTTTTTTTTTTTTTTTAGAGCAGCAGCAGTTACAGCTATGTAGGTAGTTCAATTGGGAGGTGTAGTTCAGCTAGTAGACAAGATCATATTCATTAAAAACCTTTTGTTCATGTTGGTTAATAAAAGAAAATGTGAATAAGTGTGAATAAAAGTGTGAATAAAATACATGTAAATGTGACTCCGCAGATGGTGGGTCTGTACAGTGAGGTGTTGGGCAGGCTGGATAAAGCAAAGAAGAATCTCATTATTGAAGAATGAATGATGGCAGCTTCAGTCACAGATGGAGAGATCTCAGGTCTAACGGCACGTGTTTAATATGTAGTGTGAATTTCTGTGCATGTTTTTGACAAGCTAAGAGCTGTACAATGCATCTGTAGGTTTGTTCGTAGTTACGAAATGTTCAAAAAAAAAATAGATGTTTTTGTATTCATTTAATCTGAAATATATATATAATTTTGGCAGTATTATTTTATTACTGTTATTTGTTTGATCTGTCCTTGTTTGACTAATTCAAGTCAAAACAACTGCATTGTGATACAAAAACAAATAAAAATGCATGCATTGAAATCGTAACAGAGTCACATAGTTTATTTCCAAACAAATAAACTCTTGTCCAGTCCAAAAATTTTTAAAATAAAACTAAACAAAATAATAATAATAATAATATTGGTAGGACTGTGTTCCCTCCTGACCAGGATATAAAAGAGCAGTTTTCCTTGTGCCCTGATAGGTTAAACCACCTGTAATCATGGGGAGGACACTACTGTACAATCAAAGGGTTCATATTTGCAAGCACTTACTGCACAGGTGTGCTGTCACATCAACAACTCATAATCACTCAAAAAGACAAACCAGACCCCTTCCCTCCCCATTTCACACTCATGTCTTCCGGAGCAGAGACCCTCATTAGTACGCTCCGATTCAATCCACTTCATTAGAAATATAGTACAATGAATTAAAATTCTTTGGGCTTCACCAACACGGCTGACCAGCATCAATGGTGCGAACAGTCAGCCGCTGTTCTGCTAGTCGCCTCGGAGGACCAGATCTATGATAAATGAGTAATTTATGCTCCTGGTTTACTTTAATATCACTCTACGGGTTGCTGTCCGCATGTCTTTTTATATATATTTTTACATTTGTTTTTCATCTATACACTCAGACAATTTCCACAAGATATCACAAGTAGACAGGCCGTATTGTAGGGAAGCTGATTCCCGACTCGCTAAAAAAAAAAAAAAAGTTCCGATAGGCAGCTGTAGATATTTTTTTCTATAGAGAAATACCAACATTACGGCACATTTGTATGGAAATTAATCTCAGAATAAATTCAAAGTTTACTTACCTGACATTTGTGATTTATAAAACATGTTTGTCCCAGTTGTATCACACATGCATGAAGCACAAGTGAGGGGGGATATTTACACTTTACAGCTATCATACCCATTAAAACAGTCTGTAAGCAGTTTATAAATGGCTCTGTTCCCTTCGATTATTCCCTGAACTCTGGTTTTGACACAGGTATGACAGCTGATTTCGAGACGCTTGGCAGGTGCCCAGGAGCACACCTGCTTAGAAAATGCCAGTGGGGCAGGGGGTGAGAGTGGGCCCAAGAACATCCCTTGCTTTCCGCTGGATCCAGACTTCTCAATACAGAAAGAAAGAAGCGCCTTCTTGAGGGAGCATAGAGCTCAAAGGAAGCACTGCGCTGATGTATCCTTGAGCACCGTCCCATTCCATCACGATTCCATTCTCCCCAGCTGAACCCAAGGGCAACCACAGACATAGTGCTTACAAAGTATTTATAAAAAAAAAAAAAAAGACTAAATATTTAGAATACACAAGTAGAATATATCAGCATGTCTGGGTGTTTAGTTAGAGGAGAGGAAATCCCTTTGAGCTCATACTTGCTCTACACGATCACAACACGATTGTGGCCCTTTTGTTGCATTTAAAAAAAGAAGGGAAAAAATGATCCATCAAATTCCTGAGCTCACCAAGCTCACCCCAACACAAGGCTCAACACAGTGAAGTAAACATCAGCCTGGAAATAATAAATAGGGGTGTAAATTGGAGCCTTAAAGGGTAACTAAACCCCTGGTCAGAGCCTGACTCCACCCACTAGCAATATTTGAAAAATGCTGAAAAAATGGGCAGACCCCAGCGGGGCTAGGGGGCGTGCACCTGAGACCCGCCGTGAGTGACAGCTGCTGTCAGACTCTAAAATAGAGCGAGACTAGTCTGGAGTGACTCAATAGCTGCCTTTGCAACAGAGCGGCCATTTGAAGTCGAGGACTTTTCTCCCTCACCTTCACCTGAAGTGGATGAGGGTGAATTGTATGTATACACAGGGCCAAATCCATTCGAGCTGCTGGCTCAAACTGCGGTCTTAACTCCCGCATCGCGACCGGCATCTGATGAGTTATGTCGTCGAGTTGATCTCAATAGCGCACGCTATTGATATTATGCCGCTATATGAAAAAATCCAGCAAAATGCACCGGCTCGTTTGTCGACCCTAGAGGATTAACTTTATCCTAACCATAAATTGTGATTAAAATATCCATGATCACTCACATCAAGACGCCGCTGCGGTGGAGGAGTCCATGCAGGACGAGCAGTGTTTGGCACTGCGTGTGGAGAAGCCCATGTCCACCTCCGTTACTATCCTGATCACTGTACTAAACACTGATAAATCTATGCTAACTTGAAGCTATCCTAACTGTACTATGCTACTAGCTACACAAAATAATCTAAATTATCTATATAATGCTATGCTAAATAGATGCAACAATACTCTATCCTGGTCGTTTTCAAAAATAATCTAAATAACTATATAAATGCTATGCTAACTAGATGCTATTATATGCTATAGTATCCTGATCGTTTTCAATATTCATAAATCCAACTCCTGACTCGCTACAGTAGTTTTGACGGAAACCAGATGCTTTTATACCAGGGGCTGCCAAGGGCGTGGTGAGCTCGCACCAAGGGTGTGACAGAGTGCGTCTGAGAGTTCGCTACGTCAGCAAGTACCCCTACTGCAGGAGCTTTCCGTTTAACCTGAAGAGGGCAGCACTCAGACGTTTTTACACCATATATTTGAAAATCAAAACACTTTATACTCAATTGTCAAAAAATGTACTCGAATCAATGAACAGCATTTATGAAGCTCCATTCTTACAGATCATTAACTAAAAAAAGTTGTTTTGGTGTTTAGTTACCCTTTAATGACGATCCGATACCGATTTCTTAAGCCAACGATTCGATTATTTACGTAACGTCAGAATTTCCCGCGATATGATTCAATACTAGATATTTTTGCATGATACCCATTACGTTTCAAATAAATCAACAACACACACACAAAAAATAATAATCATAATTAGCCTATTATTGAGAATACAGAAACAGCAATAGCGACGAGCAGAGAGAAAGGCGTGAGGTCGGTGGCGTGAGTGTTAATGCTTGGCACAGTATTCTATTAACATAATGCGTGTTAAACTATAGCAGTCTTCTTTGCAAACGGCAATATCTCTTACCACTGCTCCGTCTGTTTTCCTCAAGCCAAAATACTTCCACACCCATGACTTGACGCCGACTGGAGTGTGTGACGTTTCACTTTCATTGCCATCTCGCTCTGACGGTTCCATCGCTCTTGAAAGTCAGACTCAACAATGTGTGTGAAGTGAACATAGACGGACTGAAACGTAAGTAACGCGTGTGAAGTAGAAGACAATAATGAGGTTAGCGCCACCCACAGTTTAGGAATAGGTTGTACGCATATGTCGGAGCTGATGAGTAGTATGAAGCTGCAGACTCGGAGACCTGCATCTAGAGTCCCCCTGCACCTAGAGTCCCGCATTCTCAGACCCCTCGTTTTTCGAGACAGCGCCTCCTATCAAATTGTATCGGATAACATGTGAAGAACTTAAGCCAAAAAGTGAGTAGGCTACCTATCTTCAATTTTATTTAGCGAATCGTAGTAGCCTCGTTTGATTAATTTTTTTTATAAAACTAATTTAGCTCGTCGATACAACATTATGAATAGTCCATTTAATATTTGTAAAGATAGTTTGTAACAAGATTTCAGCCGTTAATGTATGTTTTTTTCACCCTCTTCCGCCCGAAAATATTTTGATGGCTAGCGTTAGCCTTTATCCTTGGACTTTTTGTAGATATGTCATAAGTGCTGCAGTTATTTTCACTGGCCATTTGTGCCCCCATATATTTCAAACCCACAAAGTTGTCCAAAGTTCAAAAACATCTCAAGGGACATTTCAACAGAGCAATGTAACATTTGCAAACAAATTTCAATTTTTTTTTTTGAAACATCATAAGACATGTGCTATCTGTTGTAGGTTATTCCAGGGTACACCATCAATCGATGGAGTTACCCCTAACCCAGCAACATATCATTTTATGATTATGCAAAGCGACTTGAGTTTTTTTTAATGCAATGGAAGACGAAAAGTAAAGTCACGAACACAGTTTTTTCTTCCTTTTTTCTTTAGGCTACAGCAAGATGATGTTTAGGTTATCATTAAATAAAGTACAGAATTGTTTATTATTGGTGTTTTGTCTATTCTGATTTGTTTTGCTTCGCATTCAAAATATCATAAAACAGATTTTGTAATGTTAGCATCATAATGTTAATTAGACTATTATAGGTTGAACTGAAAGAAAAATTGGAATTTGAATAAAACAAATATAAAAAAACATTGTAGCAATATAATATCGTATACTATTTTTCAGAAGATAGATCTGTAATTGTATCCTTCCATCTGTTACAATGAGTTTTTTTTTTGGCACATGCATTAAGCAGGTAACGCAAATATTTATTGGATAATTTATTTGGAGACTGTTAATATTGCATCCTGTTGTTTTTTAATTGCATTTGGATAACCGTACGCTGGACTCTGTGTGCGGGTGTTATTCGATCTGTTGAACAGCAGGAGGCGCTGTGTTCGAAAAACGAGGGGTCTGAGAATGCGGGACTCTCGGTGGGGGACTGTAGATGCAGGCTCCGAGTCTGCAGCTTCATAATATTGGAGCTGATGCTGAAAATAAACAAATTAATCGATACTCTTGCGGGCGCATCGGATCGCTGGCTGTATAATCGATGGATCGATAAGAATCGATTAATATTCACACCCCTAGAAATAAGAAGAAATAAAATCGTTTAAAAGCTGTCATAGCAAAGAACAGATTTAATTAAACCATCGTCGAGTTCTGGGGAAAACGGTCAATTTCAGGCTCCACTAATGCTTTAATATCAAGAAGGACATCCAATACAATTATTGTCTTGATTCTACCCGTTTTAAGGCTGCGATCCAGGGCAGCTAACAGGACAGTACCTTGTTACCGTTCAGTCTGAAGAGTATAGTCATGGAAGGCAGAGGAAGTGCAAGTGGGCTGTCTGCTTTTCAACAACTCCAATGGCGGCCAAAATTGGATTTCGCTTAAGACAAAAAAGATTCGCAAAAAAAAAAAAAAAAAGGATTTCACAGAGGTAAGACACTTAAGTCTATTGCACTCACAAGTTAGGCCTCCAATAGGATGATGGGAAACTAAAATCATCGAGTCTCCTGCTAAGCACTGATCGGTTGAATGGTGTCATTCCCCACCGCGATTGACAGGAATTTTCCAGAAGCGTTTATTCATCGTAAGGCAGTTTGGTGCTCTGCAGAGAGCCCAGTTACACCTCTCTACCCCCATCTTTAATACAAAGCAGCTAAAACCACAAGAAAGAAAGAACACAAAAACCCAAAGACAAGTAAATTAAATCTAACAGCCCTCCAAGTAGACAAATCAAGTGAAGTGTAAAATGTGTACCGTATCATTTCATATTATGTAATAAAATCTCTCCATAGGATTTTTTCCATGTGATGTCAGTAATATAAATGTATAGACTCGAACCCCGTTTTCCATTTTGCTCCGTCTCCGACCGACCGCGTCGCCATACAAATCGGTGTGGCCAGGCAGCCAATCGAATAAAGCGAGCGGTTTTGTGAGTACTGAAGATCACCGTCAGTTTTGAAGTCTCTCCGCTTAGAAATATGAGCAGTGACGGTACCATCAGCAGGCTTGACCTGTATCTAGTCCTTGTAGAAAACCTCGCACAGCATCCGCGAATGTCTTTTTCAATGAAACCGAATGAACATATACAAGGTTTCCACTCGTGTCACCATCTCCGACTCCCCGTTCTCACTTTAAGACATTCTCATCATCATAATCAAGTCCATCCGAAAGCCATGAAAGGATTCGCTCAGGTTTCCCTTTTTTGTTTTACATGACAAAAAATTTTCTTTAGGAATGGCATTTCCAATCTTGAATGGAATTGCTGAGAAACTCATGCAGGGGTGTGCACTGTCACAGTAATGGTGATAAGACGTTTTTCATTTGAGGGTAACATAATGATGACACTAAAACTTGATATGAAACATATCCGTGAAAGGGAAGGAAAGGTGTCAGGTGGAAGTGGGTTTAGGGGGGTCAGGCGGAGGGCTCCATGGAGTCAGCGAGCTCAGAGCTTCTCTGCGGATGGGATCCAGATGTAAGGGCCTGACTGCTCCTCTATGATCAGCTTGATTTTATTATAGATCTCGTCTAGCGAGTCACCCTGGACTATGGCTGTGGAGAGACGCACAGAGAGAGAGAACAATAATCATACTACTGTACTGATCACTCTTGTTAAACAGTAACAGGGGCTGGACTAAAAGATTTCCCCTGAATACAGTTAAGAGAAATCACATGATGGTGGAGAGGAGAAGAAGCAAAAAAACGTACCTGTGAAAAACTCTCCAAACTCTTGTTCAAGCTTCACTGCCTTATCAAAGACTTTATTGGCTTGCTCATATGTCTGCCTCTTATTCATTTCCCTGTTGAACACAAAAAAGTGCATTACTTATTTCGCAATGCATCAGCAAAAAATAATCGACCTAATAATTGTTAGATTAAATAATCGTTTGTTTCAGCCCTAACGGTAATCACTTAGGGACTCGCGTTGCGTGTGCCGTTGATACATCTAGCAATCACGCCCTGCTTCACGCCACAGTCGTGTTAAAAACATCAATGTATTCACTCATCCATAAAAGATCCATCAGCTTGATGACGAGATCGATACTTACGCTTAATGCGGAATATATGTCATCATTATACTCCTTTGTTATTGTAAGTGGTTAGCGACCCCTGGTGGTGAAAAATCCTACATATTGTACCTTTAATAACTAACAACGGAAAACTTTGTGTAAACTACCCCTGAATGGCTTTCTAGAGGTAAACGTAACATTACGGAACATATTTGAAAACACATTGGGATTACATGATACATTTCAGTAAGATATTCTACATCTACATCTTTCTATATACCTTCTGATGTTTAAGTGCTCTAACTAGTAGTAAAGAAAAAGACATGAACGGTTTATGTGTGCTTGAGAATGCCGCTTAAACTACAGCGAGTAGTTTCGTTACGCAGTATTATAGAGCGCCAAAACGATTTTTTTAAAATTATGTGTTAACTGTTATTTAATATTTAAACAAAGTACAAAGCTTACTGCAATTATTGGATGGCAGACACTTTAAATGTTCGTATCAAAAGAAAATAGCATCAACTAAAAGATCGAACTTGTGTTTTAAGAATCAAAACCAGTATTGATTAAAAATGTCAAGCCAACCCTAGAGTCCACACAGCTGACACATTTAACTGTTGAAGTTCATCCCCATTGTAAGCATGAAACAGAGGCTGAACAGAAAAAAATGCAGCATCGTAAAAATGTATAATAAAACGCCACTGATTCGGTCAATTATGGCCCTTCAAAACCATTTCGGCTCAAAACAAAACATTTTGGTGCATCCCTAATTATAAATATATTAGAACTTTTTATCAATTTAATGTCATTTCTGAATACAAAATCTTACACTTACATTAGTGCCTCCACAGATTTTGGCTTGATGAAAATGGCGATTGGATAGAGCTGTGCTTGCTGCAGTCGCTTTATGGCGTTCCCAGACACATCCAGGATACAGTGTTTCCCCTACATGACAATCAAAGAAACAAAAGTAGTCACACTTTCACCGCACACAATGATTGCCACAGGGAAAATATTTAAGGATTAAACAGGAGTTCAGATCTTCTGGCATGTTTACACAAGGCAGTCACTGACCCTTTCAGCCACTGCCCGGACAGACAGGATGCTTGTTCCGTACAGATTCTCATTGAACTGGCCGGCCTCTATAAATTTGTTGTCCTGAATGTCTTTCTCCATTTGCTCCCTTGAAGCCACGAAGTGGTAGTCCTGTCCGTCCATCTCATTCTCTCGCCGAGGACGAGTTGTATCTGAGGCATCGTGCACATGTCTCACTTTACTTCAACAAGTATTGCCAAAACATTTCATGATAAAAGATATTTTGCATGTAGCCACTAGCCTTTTCTTATTACACTCACGTGGAACACAGGATCCAAACTTGTGAGGAAACTCCGAGATCAAGTCATCGTTTACTCTGTCCTTCATTGGACCAAGGATAATCACAGGCCTTGTGTAATGGACTGAAAGGAAAACCAAATCAATTTTGGTCAAACATTTCCAGACTTGAGAATAATTTCCTTTTTTTTATGGAGGACATGTCATAGAAAAGCAGGATTTTCCCTTCTCTTTTTAAAAACAAGTGTTCTATGCATAAAGCTCCCTTCCCAGGCCACCAATACCATTTATGAAAACTAAACTACAAAGTAAACATGAGTCATTCAGAAATCGAACACATTAACAGATGAAATACACATATCATGCATATTAAAATGCATATCACCAATTGTTTATTTAACACCTTGCACCACCCTAATGAAAGATAGTTCAAACTATGGCACATATACTTCTTAATACTGCCTCAACAAATTCAGAAAGAGCCAGATTCACTAACAGCTTGCACCAGCGCAAACCCTGTTTCGGCGTTAAAAAACTACTGTCAGGGTTTACAAAAGGTATGCAGTGAAAAATTTGCATGGACAGTTCTTTTTGCAGCTGACCTCATTGCATATGTATTTGTAGGAGTTTCCCTTTCAGACACAGTGCAGAATGTTGTTTATGTTCATGAATACTTACTCTCTTGTCGAATCACTGGCTCATACGATAGAATTGTGTCTTCCTGACCCTCTGCATAACGAGAAATGACAAAATTATCCATATGAAACGGGTATCTATCAATTAGTTCATTTTTGTCCAAGCATTAAATGGTTAACAGCATGACACTGCTCACATGGAATACTGCACCTTGGCAGACTATATTGGGACAGTTTAATGCAGTAAGTAATGAAAAGCATAAGCTAATGAATGTTTAGAGCCACTTACTTGAGCTGCTTTCGCTGTCACTCGTGTTGGATGTCAAGCACTCTGTGGATATAAGATGAGGGAGGTTTAGAAATGTCACAATGCACACTTTCACCCATATGTAAGACTAATACTACATGAAACACAGCTCGGGATGAAACTATACACCCTCCGGTTTCATCATGCCAAGAATAGAAAAGGCTGAGTGAAGAGAGGAAAACAAACACAGAGAACTTTTGGGCACTTAAATGGCTGCCGTTTCCTTAGAAGGGAAATGGTAGGATGAGGCAGCAATAGGAAATTAAGTATTTCCTTTTCCTATGACTCCAGTGATCTTAGATTCTGTGCTGAGCGTTTCCTATGACCTTGCCAGTGTTCGGTTCATCAGACAGTGATACTGCTCCTCATGCCAAAGTAAACAAGCCAGTTTTGGGTTCCTTACAGGAATCAAATAACAAACATTCCTTAGATGCAGTGACAACATGATAGTGCTAGAATCCTTAAAACATTAAACATGCACTCATCTTGCCCAGTATGACCAGGTCCTGAGGAGAACTGCCATTGATTCACTCTCTCTTTAGTGTACCATATGGTAAACAGATCTTTAAGAATTAAGAATATGTATGTGTAAATGATTTATGCGTTTAAAGTCAACTCAATCTATGAAATCAAAATTTTTCATACTTGAGTTTAATTCACTAATGCACATTACTTATTGAGTGTGATTTTTCAATGTGTCATCTCAGAGAAAAATGTCTTTGTGATCCTTTAAAATGTCATTTCAAAGGTTTCCTGTTCCACTGATATCACATAAGCCATACAGATAATTAGATATAGCCATATGTTAATAATAGATAATACATAATGCATTTTTTTTTTAAATCAAACTCACATTAAGTCTGGCCCCATAATGGTATGTTACACACATTTTTCACCAATCAATACTCGATTGACACAATCAAGCCCTACATTTTTAGTTACTAAACATCCTGTTTCACTTGGAAATGTGTCACTAAAATGAGTTGCGAATGGCAATTAACACTGACTTTCAAAAAGTGGCGGATGAATCTTAAGGCAGAGAGGAGATTGACTGAGAAAGAGAGAGGGAGGAACAGAAAGAAAGAATAAAATGTGTGTGTGGCACAGCCGGTTCAGTTAGCTTAGGGAACAGCTGCTTGACAAAAGGAACCACACACTTACTCAAACTCTTTGATCCATAAAAGTCATCGCTTAACCCTGGGAAGTCCTGAGCGTCCCGACAGGTGAAAGCAAGAACAAAGAGAGAGAGCAGAAAGGAAGAAGAAAGAGGTTAGTGAGAGGCTAGTAGAAGAGAGATGTTGCACTCTCGAGGGATGAAGGAATACTAACATCGCCTTGCTGTGCGCTGAAAAATCGGGGTTGTCCAATTGTAATTTAAGTACAGGGTATTTCTGTACAGAGTCATCGGTAACAGCATTTTAAGTCCAAATGGCGAAGGGAGCAGTTCTGAACAGCTCCCACACACAGATTGATGTTTGAGCACAGCTTTTGAGTGTTAGTGCATCCTCACACCTGTGAGAAGTGCTGAGGTCCCCCTCAGAGCAAGACAAAGTCCAGAGTGGCTGTTTTCTCACAGAAAGGTCAAGAGCCAATCAAGAAGCCATCTCCAGGGTGAGTGACAGTGACAGGATGAAGCATGAAGGACAGCATCAGAGCCCTTGTCACACGCTCATACTCACGTTCGGTCTCCACCAACTCCTGCACTATATTCTCCTTGCTCTTGTAAAACGGGAACTTGCGTGATAGGTTGAAGCTTTTTTTGCGTTTCACTTTGACTGGCTGCGTGGAGATGAGCCGATGTTGGGGAATGGGGATGAGGAATGAAACAAACACAAAAAACAGAATGGGTTTCAATGTAATTCACAACACACATGCAAAAATAAAACCAAAGACGACGTTTGATTGCACAAACAATGTAAGTGGGGATAATGAATGTAAATGTATCTTGGATGCAAAGCTACATTCAGAAAAAAAAAGTTCAACTTAAATCTGAATGTGAAAGGGAATACGCAATTGAACAATGAAAGAGATGTGAAATATCTTCTTTAAATTGCAGCTAGAGATGCACCGGTCAAATGGCTATAAATTGGAACTGGGCAGTTTTTTTGTTTAATTTCGGCTGATCTCTATTCTACACAAACTGCAATGTAATCATTTTCAAAAATGTAATTTGTGTGGAAATATTAAGTAATATGCAAAAAGGATGTTAACACAGGCCAGAGACGGGACACACTGAAGACAGATGCAGAGAAAAGAACAGACATGCCAAATACTAGGCACAGCAAGCTCACAGATCACAATACTCAAAATATACGAAGAAAAATATAAATACAGAATTGGGGGAGGGGGGTTATATGCATCTCTGAAGGGAACTGACTTTCTTCAGAAAAATTTCGATGGCATTTTCTTTTTCTCTAACTCCGTATAAAGTAGCGTTTATAAGAACAACACTGCTATGTGTTCAGCGGTACCCAAAGAAACGGCTACTGTTCCACAAGCGCCAACTACTGTCAGAGAGTGAATTTGCATTTTCATTCCGTCCGTCTACTGTTTTTGTTTTATGTAGGTGTCTTATGTGGCATAATTTCACAAGTCAGACCAATCTGTTTATGCTTAATAAATTATAATATCTAATTAATATCAAAAACAACTGCTCATGCTACATGTGTGTAGCCTCTTAGTTTGGATAGTGATTAAAATGCAGTAGTTGCCTCTAATTTCAAATGGCTACAGATATACAGCAAATACATTTGCTTAAAGGGACAATGTGTAGGAATTTCTCCCATCTAGCAGTGAAATTGTATTTTGCATTAAAACCAATTGTGCTGTCCAGCGCCAAACTTTTTCAAATGCACGTTGCATCTACGGTAGCCATTATGTACCAAAAAGTTATGACAGGATGTCTTCTAATAGCACTTTGTCGAGTGTTGCTTCCGGTAAACAGGTTTGTTAATTTAAACAACTGCAACTTGACACAATGAACAAACGAATGTTAAAGTATGAATTACTGACTGAAACTTGATTAGCGCCTCTCACTGCTGTGCTCCTTAAAGTAACGTCAAGCTGGTTCTGGAAGAAAACACGTTGTGGAAGCTCGTTGGCCAATTACTTTTTGTCCCTCTCTGTTATTATAGTTTTTCAAGATGGCGGAATGACATGGAGGCCTCTGTGGACCTACCTGAACCATGTATATAAAGATAAGAGAAAATTCTTCGTTTACGGGGATAAGTCAGATAATTGGCAGTGGTATTTGTACACCACTGAGGACATATTTATGAATAAAAATATTGATTTTAGATAATAAAACATCTAAAAAAGTACACATTGTCCCTTAAAAAAAATTTTTAAAAAGGAAAAGGAATTGGCCTTGAAAAATCATGATCGGTGCATCACTAATTGCAGCATAACATCACGGGTGTAAAAGAGAAAAAAAAATGTAAAAGTGAAGTAAAGTGAAGTGTGTAATTTTAAAATACTTTTTTTTAAAACACGTTTTTGCCTCACAATGTACAGTCAACTAAACTATCAATCAAAAATTTGGGGTCAGAAAAACTGTTATGGTTTTAATATGCAGATTTGGTCCTCAGGAAATATTTTGTATTATTATTAATTTTGAAAACAGTTGCGCTGCTTAATAATTTTGTGGATATGATGGTTTTGTTGTAGTTTTTTTTTTTTTTCAATATTCTCAATAGAAAGTTCAAAAAACAACATTTATTTGAAATAGAAATATTTTGTAACATTATAAATGTCTTTAATTATCTTTCTGACGCCAAACGTTTGACTGGTAGTGTTTAAGTACACCCTTTGTTGGTGCAACATTGTGCAAGTTCAAAACATTGCTGTTTGTTTGAGCATCCTGACCAGTCCATTACACACTTCACCCTCAAAAGATCAGTTCACCCAAAAATTTGGTCATTTACTTACCCTTGTGTCGTTCATTCTGCCAAACATCTCCTTTTGTATTCCATGAAAGAAAGAAAAATCATACAGGTTTGGACAACACGAAGGTAAATAAATGACAATTTTCATTTTTGGGTGAACTATCCCTTTAGGTTACAAAGAAAAGATTGGAAATCTAAACATAAAAGTGTTTCTCAGTCTTGGCTCTGGAGGGTCCCCAACAGCCCATTCAGTTCATGGAGTACTCTACTAATGAGCAGCGCAATAGAATCAGGTGTGTGGTAAGGGAAACACCAGAAATGTAAAGTGTTGGGGGGCCTCCAGGACCAGGATTGAGGGGCATTGATCACCATCACAGCTGATTATAATGGCACAGTACATGTTTGTAGTTGTATGCTTTTGTTTGTGTATTACTATGAGAAATTGGATGCTCAGTAACAGGAGCCTCCAGGATACTGTGAGAAGCCACCAATTCCCACACTCAGGGGAAGTGGGGCAGCTCCCATGACTCCTTCACAGGAGGAGGACGACGAAGACTCACTCACCCTGTTGGACTCAATCATGCCCGTCCTTGCATGGAACTTGACTGTTTTTAATCGTGCACGTTCTTTCTTTTCCACCCTGTGGATCAAAATATAAAAATGTGTGATTGGCAGTGAACACAGCCCATTACTACAGGGGAAATGTTGTAATTGTAGCTTGGCTTGTTGGCAGTACTGTACCTTTTCTTGCTTGGTATGACCCCAATTTGCTCACTCTCCCCATGGGGTGTAACCAGCCGTGCCTGCCACCACTCATCATCGGAGGCATTGATGACATGCAGGATGTCCCCATAGGAGAAACTCAGGCCCTGGCTAGGGAGGCAACTGTCCCTGGTCCTGTCGTAGTCAAAAAGAGCCCTGGGAAAATCAAACGAAACAAGTCGTACATCAACAGTGTGCTAGAGGAGTGGACGTTCAGACTTCATTGTCAAAAATCTGTTGTGTTTGAGTAAAGGGTGGGTGTGGGGATACACATACATCACAATATTACACTTCTTACCAAAGACAGCAACCATTTGAGAAATAATTTGCAAGATCATTTGTTTATTTTTAACATTTATAGTACTGTTCATAAGTTTTGGGTCGGTACAAGGTTGCATTTAGGCTATGTGTAAAATGGTAATATTGTGACATTTTAATAACGATGAAATTACTGTCTACTCTTTTAATTATTTGTTTTTTTCCTGTGATGCAAAGCTGAATTTTCAGCATTATTATTATTCCAGACTTCAATGCCAAATGATCCATCAGAAATCAATCTAACGTGTTAATTTGCTGCTCAAGAAACATTTCTTATTATTATCAATATTAAAGCCAGTTGTGCTATTTCATAATTTTGTGGAAATCCTGAAAAAAAATTCCACAATTCTTTGATGCATAGAACAAAAAGTACAAAAGAACTGCATTTATTTTTAATTAAAATATTTTTTAAAATTATAAGCGTCTTTGCAGTCTCTTTTGATAAATGCATTCCATGCTGAATAAAAGTAATAATTGTCATTATTGTTCACATTGTTGCTGGGTATGCCCTTCGCAGTCAGTCCCCTTAGATAAACCTGTGGTTAAGCACTCAAGGCCATAATAGTGATAGAGAATCCCAGTATCATCATGAGCGGGAAACCAGATGGCAGATGACGTTGAGAACAGAAACACAGTCAGGCATTGTGTTTAAAGCTGAATGTCTTTACCTTGTCAGACAGGTAAATCCAAATGAAAGGAGAAAAACCAGTGGAGCAGGCCTTCCTGTTTCTCAACATACCTCTCCTAGGAAATACTAATTATAAGCCCACTGAGACACGCACACATAGTTTGCTGCACAGCTAGTGCAGGGTGGGATAAGTGCTGACTGACAAGCCTGTAACATTTTGACACACATTTATCTCGTTACTGCATTCACAGGAATGTGAAAATGCCTTGAGATTGAGTGCTTACCATTAACACGTGTGGTCAGCTGACTCATGAGCAGCTGAATACTTTAAGCACAGCTCACTTTAGGTGCAAGCTACCATCAGAAGCAGGCCACACATTCATTAGGCAGATTATATATTTAATACACGCATAACTAGACTGCTGCCATTTCTTTTGAAAATGTGCCTATTATACACGTTGAATCGGCAAAAAATAAACCTGACGGCCTCCGACTAGAGCCAATGGTGTGGACCTTGGTGTGTCCCTGGCTTTACCCACACAGTCTGAATGCAAAAAATAAACAGCTACTGTATGCATATATAACAAATGGCCACCAACAAATTTGAAGGAAACACATGGATACATTTAAAAAATAATAATAATAAATAAATATATATTAAATTAATAATTTATGACTTATTATGTAAATTTATGACTAATAACCATGCATTTTTAAAAGTTTCAAGTGTTTCTGATAAAGTTAGACAAAAAAAAGTCATAATCAGCTCATTATCCTGCTGAAGGATTCATGAACTGTAACTGAAGTACAGATCTCTAATACAGGGCTAAATATTCTTCTCCACAATGACTTGATAGATCTATGATTTTATGGTGCCATTCAAAGATTCCAGGTACCCGTTGTTCATTCAGACAGTGACAGGTGGTTGGACTGTAAACTGTTAGACCTTGAGCTAGATGTTCCACTTGGATCTGTTTTGGAGATTATCTAGCTTCTCTCTCTACCCATTGCACCATCTTTCGTTTTCTTAAATTAATTTTCCTCTTTCCTCTCACAGGATACACAATACATCAGCCACCATATTGGTATCGGCTGATATATGTTCATTTATAATGTTATTGTTATTATATTGTTATCGACCTGATAAGAACATTTGGTCAATTTCTTAATAATGGTCAATAAATCAATAAATAATGGATTATTCCTTAAGAAACTTCAGATGTGTGCTGTCCGCCATGATGGTTTTAAATTGCTTGAAAAATGATTGGAATCACTTCAAAAAAGAAAATACAGTTAAGTGCAACATGTGCAATGGAAGTCTGACATGTAGGCTACAAAAAATTATAATGATAACAAAAAGAATGTTGTAAACTTTGTATGCCCGTGTTTTAGCGCATAGGGAAGAGCACATCCATGATATTGTCTGTGCATAGGCCATAACATTTTTTTTTTTTTTTAAAGGGAGGCGATAAAAAATACAAACGTTTTGGCACTGACAAAGGCAAACATCCGAAATGTTAGTATTTTTTATCTCCTGCATGATACTAATAAAAACATTTTTAGAGTGCAGACCTTTTTGCCTTTTCATACCGATATATAGGCTTTAGCACATAATTAGCTGGGAGAGTGATGAGTGACTAGCCGCAGTGAGTGCTTTGATTGGGATAAAGAAAGCTGGCCATAGATGTGTAAATTAATTTTAAAACTTATACTGGTACAAACTAGGGTTCAGTACTGTATATATTTGATATATATTGAAGTGCTTGGGACATGGCTTTAATCAGACTCTCAAAAATTATATTAAGTTAGATTTATCAACCAATATATCGTTTATCGGCTTTCAAGTATCAATTTATCAAGCATCCCTAACAATAACATTATAAGATATTGTACTACAAAAAAGATTGCACTTCTTTTCACTGCTTCAAGTCTCACTCCAAACAAAATGCATGTGTTGAAGACAAATACATTATGTATAAATGAACACTTTTTAGAAATAAATGGTGCATTATTGGAATTAAATGCAAGACAGCTAAAACTCAAGTTCAAACAAGTCTTAATTATTTAATTATGTAATTGGCTACTATGGCTGTTTGATCGAAAGTAAGGTTCCTCTGATTGATAAAAGCGCTTTTACACAAATATGTAAAATATCAGTACAACTGAATGAATGAATCGGAGGATGAAGATGATACCTGACGTAGAGGGAACGTTTCTCACTGGTGCGGAGGGAGCCAGAGCCAGAGCTCATGCTGCTGTTCATCATTTGCTCCCTCAAGTCGTGGATCTTGGACTCAAAACGACTGTATTCTGGAAAGAGAAAAGGCACACAATCCATCAGCAACACCTATATTTACAGTGATATTCCAGGCTTTGCTCCAGGTTTTATGAGTGGAAGTGCTTGTAGAGCAGGGCAGAGAAGGAAAGCTCAGCAGCTTATTGAGAACTGATTAATGACCCAGAGAACAGATGGATATTAATCATGTATTTGATGAGCTATACGCTAATATCTCCTGCCAGATAATTAATTATGCATATTAATTAAGTAGAACATGCACTATTCAGTATAACGGAATGAAAACCTCCAACAAACCTCAGACCGTAATCATTTTTCATAGTGAACAAGGGTTTAGTTTCTGAAACAGCACTGAAGCATGATGGCTGATTGTACGGTGGCCTTTTCATTAAACATGCACACCTCAGCTGCAGTGTGGTCTGGCAACTCACAAGCTTAGCAACTGAATCACACGCACATGTAAACAGAAAAAAATGCATGGGCAAATAAGGATAACATAGCCGAGGAAAGACTATTGTTTTCTTAAAGGGTTAGTTCACCCAAAAATTAATTATGTCATTAAGGACTTTGTGGTATTTCAGAAAACTCTCGGACTAAATCTAAAATATCTTAAACTGTGTTCCGAACATGAACGAAGGTCTTACGGGCGAAGCTTTGAACATGTATGTATGGTATACTGTCCATGTCCATAAAGGAGATAAAGACATCATCAAAGTAGTCCATGTGACATCAGTGGGTTAGTTAGAAAGCATCGAAAATACATTTTGGTCCAAAAATAACAAAAACTATGACATTATTCAGCATTCTATTGTCTTCCGGTTCTGTTGTCAATCCACATTCAGTGACGCTGGTGACGTAAGACTCTGCTGATGTGTAATCTGGTGCACCTGAGGAGACGCACGCTGTAAACACAACAATCTTCGCATATATGTCTAAGGATTTCGACACAGAGGAAGACTTGCATTTTTTTTTGCCCAGCCATATTTATTTTAAACAGAATACGGACGCACCAGATACACGTCAGCAGCGTCTTACGTCATCAGAGTGACTGCGGACTCTTGAATAGAATTGACAACAGAACTGGAAGAGAATACAATGCTGAAAAAAGTCGTCGCTTTTGTTATTTTATTTTGGACCAAAATGTATTTGCGATGCTTCAAAACGTTCTAACTAACCCACTGATGTCACATGGACTACATTGAAAATGTCTTTATTTCCTTCTGGACAGGGACAGTATACCATACATACATTTTCAATGAAGGGACAGAAAACTAAAATATTTTAAACTGTATTCTGAAGATGAACGGAGGTCTTACGGGCTTAGAATGACATGAAGGTATTGACATGAGTCATTAATGACATAATTTTCATTTTTTAAGCACTGGGAAGTACCTTGGAAGTCTAATATAGATCATCCATAACAAAGACTTTATGATTTTCAAATTGCTCCGTAAATCAAAAGTCGATCTTCCAAAAAACAAACCTGAGGCAGGAATTTCAATTTCATGAGAACTTGAAAACTCATAACAGCACTGCAGTAACTCTAAATCTATATCAAGTCTAAAGCTCAATATAAAGCCGAAACTTGGACTTGTGTCAATGGACTTGGACAATGTCAGCAGAAGAAACCGTGCCTGCGGGGAGCTCTTCTGTAAACGCCCTATCTGTCACAAATGGGTTAACAACAACCTGCTGGAATGACAAGGCAAGCTAAAGTAACTTGACACCACCTGCCTGTAACCAGGGGAACACCTCAATGGAGAGGTGGGAGGAAACAGCTAGAAAAACTTGTTGAACAATTACAGTCAAACAAAAAAGAGAAGCTAAATGTAGGCTACTAGTACATCAGAAAGAACCTTGAGATAAAGTCTGCAAAATAAAGGTCAGTATGCTAAGTAATTACAGATATCAGAAGTCATCTTTATACAGAATAAAGCAGAGAGTAATTCACCCCACTAGTCTGACTCTCAACTACGGGTTATACAATATAGATATGACTAACAACACAGACAGCTGGGTCCTCTCAGCCTGTCAGACACACGGTCCCTAACATACAAAGGCTAATGCTAAAGCGCAAAGTGTGACCCGTCAACTTAAGACCTGGGTAGAATCTGGGGCAGCTCTGCCTCACTTCCCTTCATTATGTGCAGGGCTTTTATGTTTGGGGACTGGGGATTGGCTGCAGCCTGCCTCTTTGTCAATGCAGTTATATAATATTGCAGCCATGTGCTTTCAACGTGAAAGCATAGGGGCTAAGATATGTTTAGCACAGTGCTCTCAACAGGCATGAAGGTTAGTGCCATCAACAAAATTGATTTACTCCATCTTTTGATTTAATGAGCCATGTCATAGTTCCTTGCAGAAAATAATTTTTATAATAATAATTTACAATAAAAAAAATGCATAGGGCCAGATCATTTTGTAATTTGTATAATATTACATTTAATAGTGTTATTAAATAATTTTTATTTTTATATTAACTTCAAAGGCGGGGCAGACGATTTGTTCCAGAAACATTTTTTGTTATGCTGTCTTGAGAAGTCTCTGCATATCCTGAGAGCACTCACTAAATTAAGTGGTCTAACACTATGACAAATCGAATATATGTATAATGTTACAGGTAAGAAGAACTTAAATATATATTTACCTGTCAATGAGCTGGTAGCCAAAGAAGGTGGAGTCTGGCCTATTAAACGGGAGGCCAGACTCACAATCAAGACTAACCAAGTCAGAGCGAGAGTGCAACTGTGGTGATTCAAGCATACCTGTATATGGTGGATATGTTTTGGAGAGTTTTTAGTCTTATTTATGGTACTTTTTTTTAGGTTTTTGTGTTCACCTGTATATATTATTATTATTTCCTTTACCTTTAAAACAGTTTACCTGTGTCGCGCAGCAACAAACAGTCACTGACAAAACACACAAGGCTAGAAACAATATTCATGACGTCAGCCCAACGGCGGAGCAACTTAATAAGTTGGTGGTTTTCATGATTAACCTTTCAACGTAATACACAAGGGTTGAACATGCAACTCAAGCTAACAGAAATCCATCGTGGACACCGACCCTTTCCTTTTCAGCACATCATACTTAAGGATATAAAGCAGTTATATAACTTAGACGCTTTAACGTAGATTTACGTCCCATTGATAGTTTTCGCCAACCAGGAGAATCACATTGAGATATTACTATCTCTTCTTCCAGTGAGATCTGGTCAAGACGGCAGCACATAAAGTTTCACACACAAAAATAACAAAATAACAATACAAAATTTGACACAATTAGGAACAAAATAGAAGCGAATCAAACAAAACAATTACAAATATTATTTAAAATATTGTGCAAGAGATGTTTAAAAGTGGTCAGGGTTGAAAGTGCATCTAAATTAAGTACATTTTGCAATTCATTCCACGCCAACGGAGCATAAAAAGAAAAAGCACATTTACCAGATTCTGAAAATAACCTTGGTATTTTTAGCCGATTTGAGAGCTTGACCTAGTGTGAGGGTAATTTACAGAGAAGAGTTTTTGCAATAAATAAATACATATGTTGCTTTTCCTTTGATGTAAAGATGACCAAGCTAAGAATCATAATAGTATACAATGATGCATCCATGACTGCACCAGAAACAAAGCGCAAAGCAGCGTGATACACAGAGTCTTTTTTCTAAGTAGAGATGTAACTGTATACATATATAAAAGATCACCATAATCAATAATAGATAAGAATGCACTCTCTACTATTCTTTCGGGCCTCGTATGGAAACCTAATTTTGGCCTGAGCTTCTTCACCAACCTATCAATATGAACGTCAAATGCTAATCTTTCATCCATCCATTTAACCAAGTGTATATAAGAACTAACTCTTTCTAGAAGTGTATCATTTGAAGTTGTAATTGACTTGTCAGTGACCACGACTAAATGTATTTTGTCTTTTTGTTTTTAGTTTTTTTTTTTTTTTTACCAATTTTAACAGTGAGTGCTGCAGTACTTGAAAAGCATTCTGTAATTGCTTCAATGCATGAATTAAAGAAGACACTATTGTATAAATAATTGTATCATCTGCATATAAATGTAATTTAGCTTAATCTATTCCATGACCTAAATCATTGATAAAAATAGAAATTAAAAGAGGTGCTAAAACACATCCTTGAGGAACCTCAATATTTCCTTGAAGGAATGTTGAATTGTAATTTTTCACAGACACACATTGAGTGCGATCTGAAAGAGTTTTCAAACCACTTTATTAAGAAAAATAGACTCCAAAAATATCTACCCCACCTTTAAGTGAGTGTTAGATGACAGCAAAGTTAATCTAAATGTAAAAATATTGAGGAAAAAAACGTGCACAACTAAACATCTACTATCGGTTGATATACAACCAATACTCATACTCATTAATAAAAAAAAGTTTTTTTTTTAAACCAAGGTATTCTCTAATGTTTTTTTGTTTGTTTTTGTTTTCTACATGGAACTATAACAGCTAAATCACAAACACTATGCGGTTGTTAAGATGCTCTACGCGTTCACTGAGTACAATGATATGCGGTCACTAAGGTGTTCTGAATGTCCAATCTCTTAAAGTGATTATACACAAGTCAACGTTTTGGGCAATGTTGTGGACAACGGGCAACAAGATGAGACAGAGGGCCCATGACCGATCTAAATTATCCAGATAGAAATGTATTGCCTTTTTTTCCAATGGGAAAGTGCCCAAGCAACAATCGCTCGGCAAGATTGCCCAGCAACATTGCTCAAATAGTTGCCCCGTGTATCATCACCTTTAGAAAAGTATCAGCACACCTCTCCATTCAAAATAAGTGATGATGGGTTAATTAACTCAACAGTATGCATCTTATGAGATTGATCAGATATTTATGCAACATAAACATATTACAACCTATATCTGCACAAAAAGATACGTGTTGTGTGCTTGTCAGTATGTGTAACTCCTGTTGTGCTCCACATTCGACCACATTTGTATCTACACATTTTTTTTTTTTAGAAATCTGCCATTTCATTGTAAGATCATGTTTTGACATTGACGAAAAATATGTCAAAAAAGACAAAAAATTAGCATTGTTCACAATAAGACCAATGCTATGCACTTGGAATATTTAGATATTCCTTGTTTTAATAGAGACTATAAGAATGTATAACATTTAATTGTAAATGTGGAATGCAAGAACAATTAAAAGAATGTGTTGTGAACATTTCTCTACGCTGAACACAACACTTCACAGTTCAAGTTCATTCACTGCCCTCTAAGTTAATGTATGACATGAGGGAATCAAATTTTAACAGAAGCCAGTCTACAACTAGACAGTCTCTTTTTTTACACACACTCAAGTAAGAAGCCATAATGTCTCTCATAGTACTGGTTCCCACTTAATTCAATGAGCTATTCTGGCACAAATTATTGTGTCACTTCTATTTCTATGTAGACGTAAGGGCCCTTGGGAGGGAGAGGCAGTCCATTTATACTTCAGGAGTGTCTGACTAAGGAGGAATATGGAGGAGAGCATGCCGAAACAGATAACTTACACTGCAACATTCCAGTCATTTCTCACATAGACACCAAAGAATGAACACTGCATTGACATACTACATTTTACAAGTAAAAATGACTGCTAGTGCACCAGTACAAATGTTTTGAATGACAATAATTGATTTCCTATCCTCTGTGCCAGTCAAATCATGCCATCATGTCTTCCGTTTAGTGTTCCCAGCTAGTTAACACCAACTTTGACTCATGATATTCTTGGTCTATGTAAATTATTTGACATTTCTCAAATCATTACGACAAAATGGCAGTAAGTTAATGTTTAAGATTTTTTAGACAAACTGACTTCCTGAATGAGCCCTTCCCAGCACCTGTCCTGAGCTCTGAAGGAGGCTTCATATAATAAAGCATTAAGTTAAACAAACATGACGGAGAAACGTCAGGACTCAAAGTGCAAAATATCCCGGATCAAGTTCAGTTCAAAGGTGAACTACCCTACCCTTCATTCAAAATGAAAATACCATTTTGCTTATGGTAATAATGTCGCATATGAAGCACTAAATATCATGCTGTTGTATTTTGTCTTGTTTACAGATTCAATATAAAAACATTTCCTAGGAAATCATCGAGCAAACAGTTTACCTGTGTCGCGCAGCAACAAACAGTCACTGACAAAACACACAAGGCTAGAAACAATAATTATGACGTCAGCCCAACGGCGGAGAAACTTAATAAGTTGGTGGTTTTCATGATTAACCTTTCAACGTAATACACAAGGGTTGAACATGCAACTCGAGCTAACAGAAATCCATCGTGGACACCGATCCTTTCCTTTTCACCACATCGTCATACTTAAGGATATAAAGCAGTTATATAGACGCTTTAACGTAGATTTACGTCCCATTGATAGTTTTCGCCAACTTTTTACACAGCTCTTTCCAGTTAATGTTGAATATTATAAGTTGAGGTGATCTTACCCGGCGGCGGCTAAAGCGCTGTGTTCAGCTCAACCTCTCGTTGTCCAACTCACTCGAAAAAAACATTTTAGGTAAGGAAAAAAACAAGTCGCACAATAAAGAATGCTTCACAGTAGCGCAAGGAGGAAAATACTGTTTTCTTATGTTTCAAATCGACACGAAATGTAAATAAATAGTAACGTTAAAGAGTTTAGTCAAACTGTATCGGTCTGTCCTGCGATTTGCTCCTCCCATTACAATAGCGGCACCTTCTTCTTCTTCTTTAAAACTGAGTCTCATTCGCGCTCGAGACGCGGGGTTTCTATCCGTCCCGCTCACGCGACCATCGCGCCCTTAATCCATATCTCCCGTCAGACAGACTTTCATTGTGATCCAGCAGATGAAAGTGCCAAAAATAAGCTTTCAAACACTAAAGTCAAGCGCTTCCTCCACTCCGTGGTTTTTAGACCATTTAGTTATTTCCCCCCTTTTCCTCTCAGGTTGATCCCTCCCACTTCTGGCACAGTATCATCCCAGTGCTTTCATTCACGAATGAACTTTTGTTTGGAAGCTGCTTGGAAGCCAGACTCATTAATGCGAATCGGTTCTTTTGAACAATTCACTTCAAAGAACCTGATTCTATAACGCCACCGAATGATGCTTGACACACTATGGGTGAAGCACATTGAATGTATGATATAAACGTCCCGATCAAGCCACATACCTCCCGATTACGTCCGCTAATAATAATAATAATAATAATAATAACACGTTTTATTTATATAGCGCCTTTCCAGAGCTCAAGGACGCAATTTACAGTAAACAAGCAACAATAAAGGCAATAGACAAAGACAGCAAACAAACCAGCAGTATATAGACAAGAGTGTTTAAAAAAAAAAAAAAAGTAGTACAATTTAAGAATTATGACATTCAGAAAACAAGTGAGTTTGAACATGGATTTGAAATCAGAAATAGAGTTAACAGAGCAGAGTGATCAGGGAGGAGAGATCCACATTTTGGCTGCAACAACCCTGAATGATCTGCCCTCCATTGAAGCCAGGCAATGCCAAGGGACGACGAGAAGTCTGGACTCTGGAGTCAGAGGATCTTTACTGAGCGGGTGTAGGGGTGGAGCAGTTTAGAGATGGGGGGAGCCAGGCCGTGCAAAGATTTAAAAGTGAGAAGGAGAATTTTGAATTTCATACGGTAAGCCACAGGAAGCCAGTGAAGATCATGCAAAATTTGGGTGATATGTGCAGAACGCTTGATATGAGTGAGTATTCTGGCAGCAGAGTTTTGAATATGGAGCTAGCAGATAGACCAATAAGAAGTGCTTTAATAAAGAAGTTTATTGTAATTTCATAAATCACAGTTCAGTTTTTTGGAGCCATGATTCATCTAATAAAAATACTGATTATTACCTAAACTAGCCTACTATTTGCTGCAATTAATTGTTGACAATTGGCATACAAGTTTTGAATAGCCTACACCATAATTAAGTCAAAAAAGGTCTGCCCACCTTTATTCAACAAGAGCTACAAAAACCATCAGTCACTGAATGTCCTCATTTGCAAATAAGGATTATTTCTCATAAAACTAGGTGAGGCAAAGTTCACCTTTCTTAAAGGAATATACAGTAGTACTGTATGCCACTGTGATGGAGTAATTACAGAAACTGGCAAGGCACAACAGGCACAACACATGGGTGTGTGAAGAAAGCAAGAGCAGTTGGGGACTTGATGTATTAATCCCACATAATGGTGCTCCTTTCTTAGAAACACAGTTTTGGTCTATTTTAATTTATTTATTTATTTATTGCTTTTAAAGTCCCTGTAAAGTCAAAAAATTAAGTTCTGAGTTTTGTTCTGAGTTTGGCACACCACAGAAAAAAAATGTGTTAATAGCCACACAGCCAAATTTGAATGCTAAAAAAGCTGGCAAGTAATCAAAATCTTGAAAAAATTAAAATCATTCTCTGCTCTCAAACGTTGGGGGCATGTCCGCTGGCAGCGCTGAAACCACACCCACTCGCGGGAAAGCTGCCAATGGTGATATTAGGTGATACTGCTTTTGGGACGGGGAGATGTCAGGCCAAAAAGATAGGCGGGAGATAGTCGGTTCAGCCCCATTCACTTGTAACAGTGGATTATCAGTGAATCCCAGTTGTCTCCAACGAAAGTTTATAAAACTATCCCGTGTAAAATGATCACTACAGAGGCGGGTGTTGGCGGTGATCCTCAGCTCTCTATCAAGGTTGGCTCTTCACAAAATTAATCCACCTCTTCTTGATGTGATCGTTTTTAGGAAATTTAAATAAAGACACCGATCTGTTTTGTACATGATCGCATCCAGGTAGTAGCTTATGCATTTCCGTGTTGAAGGCATAGCTAGCTAGCAAGTAGCAAACTGTAGGCTGTAGTAAATAATAGTACTGACAGTAACTCGCGATTGAGCGCCAAACTGATGTGAGTGCCCAGCCTCAGTGCGTCATCAAGTAGGGGCGTGTCCAGTAGTGATTTTTCACACGAGTTGCACTTCATGTAAGTTAGCCGAGACTACTGTTGTCTTCTGCTGCAACTACTTCTGAGAACCGCTCCCAAACATTAGATTTAGCAGCCTGACCTTTTTTTTTTTTTTTTTTAATCATGTGTATTCATGACCTCAATTTCTACCGCACCTCGTCTTCCATCTTCACTTATCGTCTTCCATATTTCTCCGTTGTTGTTGTGAGGCTGGTGGCGGGAGCTGCTTGGCGCGCCGCTTTCGTGACGTGTCATGTGACACCAACGGTTTGGGAACCTCGCGCAAGTTACGTTGCTACGGCAATCGTATTGTAACCTCATCAAATAACCTTATAAAATATGAAAATAGATATTTCCAAATATATAATATAGGCTGGAAATTGCAAGCAACATACATGGATAAAAAAAAATATGAATGACCCGCCCCGCAAATAAAGTGACAATTTCTTTACCCGACCTGAGTCGAGGCGACCCGTGCATCACTAGTGTCCAGGGGCTCCAGTGCGGTATCAAGCCCCTGTTTTAGCCCCGCCCCAAAAATCCGGAAAATAGCAATGGTGAAAAACTGTTTGACGGTCTAACTCCAGAATTTAGTACTTCACACAGTTCACAGTCTTTGTATATGTTTTAGCAAAACAATTCTAACATTTATAATGTGTTAAAAATATTTTTTTTTAGAATTGCCTTTACATGGACTTTAAATAAATAAGACCCTACAAAAAGCTAACTTGAATAAACTCAGATGTTTTCTAATTGTTAATCTCATTCATTGTCCTATAAGAAGGATAATTTATTTTGCAGTGACAAACATCATAAAAAGAGCACTCTACCTTCTGGTCTGTACTGGGCAATGATGGTCACCGTCTGTCCAGCCCTTTTCAGTGCAGCAGCAGCCTGCTCATGGGTAGCATTGCGCAGGTTTACACCATTCACCTGGGACAATACCATGGTAACAGATTAAAGCAACAACCCCCACACGCCACACACTCAAGCAAATCACATGATGAAATATTAGCTCTAAGACTTCATGCCAAATTAGAGAGGAGACTGTATTAGAAATCATGAAAAATTCCATTCCTCTTCCATTCCATTTAATCTATTTTATTCAGCAAGGATGCATTATATTGATCGAAAGTGACAGTAAAGATATTTATAATGTTTCAAAAGATTTATATTTCAAATAAATGCAGCTTTCTATTCATCAAAGAATCCTGAAAAACAAGTTTTTTGGTATTCACAAAAATATAAAAATATTTTATGAGCAATCATCTGACATGGAGTAATGATGCTGAACATTCAGCTTTGACATAACAGAAATAACTTACATTTAAAAATATATTCAAATACAAAACATTTATTTTAAATTGTAATAATATGTCAAAATCTTATGTTTTTTTTTACTGTACTATAAACGCCGTATATGTGAGCATAAGACTTCCTTCAAAAACAAACAATTTTTTTTAAAAAATATTACTGACCCCAAACTTTTGAATGGTAGTATATATTTTAATGCTGTTAATCCTGACTATTTCTACTTGAGTGTCATAGACAGTTACTGACCGACAGGATGCGGTCTCCTCTCCTCAGCTCTCCACTCAGGTCGGCTGGCCCTCCTGCCAAGATGAAAGACACGAAGATGCCCTCTCCATCCTCCCCGCCCACAATGTTGAATCCCAAACCTGTGGAACCCTTGTGCAGTAGGATCTTCCGCGGCTCCCTGCCAAGCAGAACCACAGTGTCAAGGATCAGTATGGTCTCGGATCACCACAGCAGCAGGGAGGGGACGGAAGACAGACATATATGTGCAAAAAAAATAATAATAATAAAATAAACTAAATATACTGTATATACACTATATACACTCACCTAAAGGATTATTAGGAACACCTGTTCAATTTCTCATTAATGCAATTATCTAATCAACCAATCACATGGCAGTTGCTTCAATGCATTTAGGGGTGTGCTCCTGGTCAAGACAATCTCCTGAACAACAAACTGAATGTCAGAATGGGAAAGAAAGGTGATTTTGAGCGTGGCATGGTTGTTGGTGCCAGACGGGCCGGTCTGAGTATTTCACAATCTGCTCAGTTACTGGTATTTTCACACACAACCATATTTAGGGTTTACAAAGAAGGGTGTGAAAAGGGAAAAACATCCAGTATGCGTCAGTCCTGTGGGCGAAAATGCCTTGTTGATGCTAGAGGTCAGAGGAGAATGGGCCGACTGATTCAAGCTGATAGAAGAGCAACTTTGACTAAAATAACCCGTTACAACCGAGGTATGCAGCAAAGCATTTGTGAAGCCACAACACGCACAACCTTGAGGCGGATGGGCTACAACAGCAGAAGACCCCACCGGGTACCACTCATCTCCACTACAAATAGGAAAAAGAGGCTCACCAAAATTGTACAGTTGAAGACTGCAAAAATGTTGCCTGATGAGTCTCGATTTCTTTTGAGACATTCAGATGGTAGAGTCAGAATTTGGTGTAAACAGAATAAGAACATGGATCCATAATGCCTTGTTCCCACTGTGCAGGCTGGTGGCGGTGGTGTAATGGTGTGGGGGATGTTTTCTTGGCACACTTTAGGCCCCTTAGTGCCAATTGGGCATCATTTAAATGCCACGGCCTACCTGAGCATTGTTTCTGACCATGTCCATCCCTTTATGGCCACCATGTATCCATCCTCTGATGGCTACTTCCAGTAGGATAATGCACCATGTCACAAAGCTCGAATCATTTCAAATTGGCTTCTTGAACATGACAATGAGTTCACTGTACTAAAATGGCCCCCACAGTCACCAGATCTCAACCCAATAGAGCATCTTTGGGATGTGGTGGAACGGGAGCTTCATGCCCTGGATGTGCATCCCAACAAATCTCCGTCAACTGCAAGATGCTATCCTATCAATATGGGCCAACATTTCTAAAAAATGCTTTCAGCACATTGTTGAATCAATGTCACATAGAATTAAGGCAGTTCTGAAGGCGAAAGGGGGTCAAACACAGTATTAGTATGGTGTTTCTAATAATCTTTTAGGTGAGTGTATATATATATATATATATATATATTCCATATATAGAGGAACAACCACATTGAGACATTTAGGAGTGGGATGGGTTTCATTCATTCCAAACTGCATCAAGAAAAACAGAGAATTCATAGGGTTTAGGAACAGTAATAATGTTTCAGCAAGAGGGTAAATTATTATTTTGCATTTCATTTTCCTCCTGACATTTACAGAGAGAGGAAATCGAGAAGAACAGATCCATGAGAAAAAAACAACACTCTAGTCACGACTAGAGGAGACTGACAAACTTTCATCCACAACAAAGCTAAACAACAAGTGTTCCAGATCTGTTCCAGAAATGAGTGCTAACACATACACACCGATAACTAACACACTTTCCCACACAGGCACAAAAACGCATTCACACATTGAGCTCATTCCTCCCTTGTGCAGGACTGCGGCACTTTTTTAGCAGCCATGATTCATCTGCAGGCAGAGAAGCATTCCAGACTGCCCAGAGCTGGCACAACAGTGAGACTCGACTACATTCAGGGGCAATCAAAAACCCTTTCCGAATGTACTGCAGAATAACACACCATAACCGGTTCCCAAAAATGCAACACACATCAACATTTTGTAGTGACAGCTCCCTGTTTTCAGCAGGGCAGTACACACGTTTCTCAGAACTCGACTAGCTCTCGACATGCGCCATTCCATCTCGACTGCCCATGGTGGAGCTTTATGACACTGAAAACAGCACTTTTATGTGACCGGACAAGTTGTGCTAAGTGAAACACGTAATTACGCAAACAGACAGACTGTGGTGTACTTTGTGTGATCTACTGGTGTACTGGAGTGTGAATCAATTTACTGAGAACCTTATGTCCATACATTTGATGCAAGTGGTAAACAGTTTTTTTTTTTTTGATCACTTTTTTCACCTCTGTTTATTACATGACACAGTAAAACCACGACCTGGACAACAGTTCCCTGTTTTTTGTCGCTCTAATGGGTGTCTTGTACACAACATTATTTATTAGTTCCTCTCTTTTGCAGTCTATCCTGCTCTAAGTGACAAATTGCAAAAGCTCATTTTGAACGTATGCTTAACAATTGTGGTTGATTAATCTGTTAAAACTCTATAGACAGGGTTGTGCATAATTAAGAATTGAAAAATGTGTTCCCTTTTATTTCAAGAAGTTTAAATGAAATGACCGGATTAATTGCAATTCAAAGATATTCAACATAGACAATAGGTTTTGGGAAATGAACAGTTCTACCAACTTGGCCAGGCCTATACACATTCAAACCTTTATGCTTTTTTGGTCTTCCCAAACATTGCTTTTCCTGTTGAGTTTCAATTCATTTCATTAATTCGACTTTTTTATCTACTTTTTTTAATTTGTTCAAATTGCAATTCCACAACCTTTTTGCTAAATTAAATTAAATTCTGTATAGCATGCTGATATCAAATCCATTCAAGATCAGTTTGATGATAATCAGAAGTATTCAAATAAATGAAAACAGAAGCATATTAAATTACTTTGTTCATTTAATTAATTAAAGGCAATTACTTTTAATGCCAAGCAATGTTCCCTCTAATTTTTTTCTTGCTAAACAAAGAACGGACATTTTTCGCCACCTGAGCAAAAATATTCTCTACACCTGACCTGTACAGCATTTGTAGAAACACAATCAACATTCAGTTACACATAAATGTTAATTGACTATAAATTGACTGTATAGAGCTTTCACAGACCCAATGGCCACCAAAGCACTTTACCTCACATTCACCCATTCACTCACTCATTCATACACAGACGGTGGTTTGTAGACAACCTACATGAACCACTAAGACACTCCCATTGAGTTGTAACAGGTTTTTTGACTGCACAGTCTTTACCAAGAAATCATACAAAAAATAATTTACAAAATCTTCTGCAGAACATTTCAATTCTTTACAATGATAGAATATAGTATGAAAGAAAAGTAAGCTGTTACAATGAGATGGTTTGGGAAAACCAAAAAGTGTTTTTGTACAATCACTTAATTGTGTACAGGCAGCATTAAACCATCAAAGTTAAAGAATTGTTTGTTGTTTATGTATTTCCAATATTTTCTTTAGCAAGGCAACATGACATCAAGAATTTTGCATAAACATACAGGCCACTTTCAAGTCAAGTGGCGTGTTATCTGTACGCAATTTGTGGATAGCCACGTGTATGTCTACGCCGTTAAATGTCTGAGTGATTCAGCGTGTATGGACAGGACACACCGTTAAACGTCTGAGCGAAACAAAGCAATGTAGATCTACATCTGGGGAGTGATATTTTTTTTCCTAGGATGGGGCTCATAAATAACTCCAGTGACGGGTATGTTTAGGGACGGGGTTGGGTTAGGTCACATATTTATATATACAGTAATATAATGTTAAGTCAACGGCGTTCATAAACACGCTGAAAAGCGATTATGCGTGTTGATAGCACGCCAAAAATGGAAATACAAATTGGTGTGTCATACACACGCCATTTCATGAGATCAGTCTGAGCAGGGGGTTTCAAATTTTTTAATGGCAATGAGCCCTAAACAATACCCTTGTGAGATTCTTTATTTAGGCTTAAAATATAATAAAATGTAAGCCTAATATAATATAAATAAAAAAGTATTTGAAGTATACTGATATAATATACCAGTTTAAATGGTTCAATTTATTTACAGATGATATTATTGTAATATGAAAACAAACTGAAGCATTTAAATAGATCTGATAGCTAAATGTTTTCAAGAAAAGTGAATACGTGAACTCTTTTATCTAACCATCCATGAAACCCCCCCCCCACACACAAAAACATTTAAACTTATGATGTATTTTGAATTTGCATGCGGGTGGGTGTGTAATTGTTACCGTTCTGTGTCCATCAACCATTATTTCCATGCACCACTTTAATCAAATTCACTCTTCTTTAAAACATTATGATGTGATTTTAATTCACATGTCTTTTTGTTTTTCTCGTTGCCTCTCGTATTGAGCTATTTGGTCCGCACACACGACTCAATGCCAATCACAAGCGCTCACATCATTCTCTTTCTATGAAACCTGTAAACATTCACCAGTTTTCATTCGGTTGACCAGAGCACTGAAATTATTTCTCACTTAAACTACAAATAAATGGATTTCCCCACACACTTCGCGTCAGTCCTCTGTGCGGCATTTTATTCTTTTCTGCACGGCCGCGGCTTCAGAAGTGCGCAGCTTAGAGGGAACATTGATGCCAAGGTCAAACACTCATTAGATCTGGAGAGAATACAGTTTTGTTCTAAATCAAGTCAATATATGCTGTTTTTGAAAAAGATCAATGGTAGATTAGTACTATGAATTTATGTAAAATGTATATTTTATTCAAATAGTAGGCTACCAAAGCAAATGAAAGAAAGGCGCCCTTGTACACAAAAAGATTAAGCTGATCAGATGCCAGCAGTCAGTCACTCAGTCACACACTCAAACCATTACCTGGACCTACTGTACCTCTTCATGAGGGTGATGCTTGTCCTACCTCGTCTCTCTACATTGACTTTTACCATTGGCAACGAAGACGAGATGTTAACTGTGAACATGGTGCCTGCCGCTACCAGGCAGGGATATGAAGAATATTTTCCCCCAGGACTCTGTATCTCACTCCAGACAGGCTGTGAAGTGCCATGTGT